AATGTTCTCCAGTTACTGTATCAAGCAAGTTTGTGGGTCAATAACTTAGAAACGCTACAGTAAGAATGTCTGAAAGTGTGCGTGGTTACGGTCAAGTGCACTGGGAATATGACCACAATGGAACTTTTAACGCACCCTCAAAGGAAGCTGAGATATAGCGCCACCAATTAGGCCAATAATGCAATTTCTCCTGTTATTGTATGGTCATATCTGCCAAACTTATGGGTTCATAACTTCAAAATGCTACAGTAAAAATGTCTGAAAATTTGCATGGTAACAGTCAACGGCCCTTGGAATAAGGCCCCAGTGAAACATTCAACGCACCCTCAAGGACAGCTGAGATATAGCGCCCCCAATAGGGCCTACAAAACCAGAATAGTCTTTATAGGAGTGGGTATCAGAAAGAACAGTTGAAGTCTAGTACAAATTATAGTATTTACAAATACCATATATTCATTTAAGCAAACTTTGTGTGCATTTTAAAGCAATGAAAATGTCATCATTTTGTATCTAGAGTCCTCTATTCACAGGTGCTGGGTCATATAAAGTCTTCATAAGAGGCTAGATTAAAAAAAACAATCATTACTGCACTCAAAGGATGACATGCACGTTTAATAATTACCATATAATGTAATTAGATTTAATGTTGACAGCCCGTTTTTGCTCTTATCTCAGTGTTATTTACATTTTAAAATAGTTTATTGTTCGTTTCTGAAAAAGAGACACAAATAGAGACGGTCCCTACATTTTTTTTTTTAAGGTGGAACGGATAGCGTCAATAAGAAGCTGTGAATAAGAAGCTGAATTCAGCCTTGTTATCAGTCTGTGGTATCAGATGTTTGATGTGCCAAATCTTAGTTCTGTCATTCACTTGTTACTGCTGCACCGGTGTTATGATCATTTAAACGTATTTCTGTATCATTTATCATCCATATACTGATCGATATTTCACAGCTACTAAAACAGTAAAAAATGAAGAATCAAGAATGAACACCAACCTGTTTGTTCCTCAGTATCTTCATGTTTTATTCTGGGTGGTTATTCTGGATCCCTCATGTCTTCAACCTCCTCTTTAATAAACTCAATATTTAATAGTATGTGTCAGATTTCAGCTCTTGGAGTCCCGCGCTTCTCTTCTGCTCGTCGTGTTTTTGCTCTTTTGTATATTTATGGAAAACTCGAAAACGCTTTAGTGTGTTGCTGACACCTGCTGTAAATTCCTGGTAACACACACATACATGCAGGATTTTCCATACACATAATGATTTTATACGGTACACATTATTTTCACTTAATCTATACGCTGAATAATCTCGCTTGACAACAAGACTATCATCAAATTAGCTGCTAAAAAGTTTTCTGTTTTCTCCTCATTCATTCTGATGATGTCTGAGATCTTCTGTAAATTGGCACATTAAGTCCATTTCATTGTGTGTCAACAGACTGAGACAAACTACAGGATCATCACAAATCAAATCTATTACTGAACTTAGTACTTGCATTATTATTCAGAGCCTATGCAACTTTTATATTGCATATATAATAATGTTCCTTTATTAAATAAATATATTTTTGAACATATTTTTTTCCAATTTAATTTTGGTGTTTCTTTGTCAATGTCTTAACGAGCAGGCAATCAATCAAAGAATACAAAAAAAACATCAAAGTAAGATTAAAGTGACTAAATACTTTTGCTGTTCTCCAACAAAACAGAAAAAAACACAAATCTTATGGCATGGATAATCTCATTTACTTTATATGAATCTCACATCTATAGAAAACATTTGCTCACTGTGACACAGAACAATGCTTTTTCATATGTCAGTTGTTGACTGAGTGAAACTCTTTCCACACTGAATACAGTGATACGGCTTCTCTCCAGTATGAACTCGCTCATGTGCTTTCAGGCTTCCAGACTGAATGAAACTCTTGTCACAATATGAGCACTTGTAAGGTTTTTCTCCAGTATGAATTCTTTGGTGCTGTTTCAGAAAGGCAGCTGTAATAAAGCTCTTGCCACACTCACGACACACATGATCTCTCACTTCATTATGTGTTTTCTGGTGACGTTTATAATCATGTAGCCTTGAAAAACTCTTTCCACAGTAAGAACACACGAGGCCTCTCATCTGAATGAACTTTAAGGTGTTTATTTAGATGTGATGATGAAATCAAATCTTTTCCACACTGATCACAGCTAAATGGCTTTTCTCCAGAGTGAATGAGCTGATGCATCAGCAAAACTCTTTCCACACTGTGAGCATGTGTGCAGTACGTTTCTCTCCTGTATGGATTACCGTGAAGGAAATAAGGGGGGGGGGGATCAAAAAGTGCCCCCCCACCCCCATTTTCTGAACTGTCACCACTGGCATTCAATGCAACAAGGCTAAACGCAACTGATTTTACTAATTGACCTACAAATCTCTGCAAAAATAAAATAATGATGCTGCAATCTTTCTAAAGTAATTTTTTACCCTGTAATTTGGCCTCAAATCTCAGTTGAAAATTACAAATTTGACCCTGTTCTACAAATTTGATTGAGTACTCAGTACACATTCATCCATCACATTTAATATTTTGTCTTTCTTCATTTATATTCTTCAGAAGGAGCTATGAACTGAATCCATTAAGTCTACAGTTCTGTTGACAGGTGACTGAGTGATTGAGTTAACCAATGAAATCAGCGGTGGTGCGGGGCTTGCACTCAACTAGTTCAGGGGGAAAAACACATTTTGACAAAACCAAAACATTTTATGAAATGATAAACCTTACGTTTCAATTGTGTTATATATAACTGGCTTGAACAAAAACAGCAGACAGGCTGAATGAAAATGCTAATTTATGCAATTTCAATGTCAAAAACATGGCGAGTGCAGGAATGGTTTCTGTAGTCTTTAATAGTACTTTTAATAATGTTTAACCTGAGGAGAAAGATTAAAACACACATCAATAGGTGATTATCACACAAAATGGTGATCCTGCCGTTTGTCTCAGTCTGTTGACACACAATTAAATGTGCTTAAAATGTGCCAATTTACAGAAGATCTCAGACATCAATGGGCAAAAATTGCTCCTTAATGGAAAAGTTCATTTCTGACCCCTACACATTTGTGATTTCTCTATGTGCATTTGCTGTTAAAATATGTTAAGTTTTGATGGTTACACTTTAGTAGTGTATAAAATGGCTTATGGTTGCTTATTTTTATGTAACCTAGGGTTTTATAAGTGTAAAATACAGCACAGGTTATGTTATTCAATTAATAACTAATCAGAAATCTAACATAGACAACAGAAATCCATTTGGTACATGTACAAGCTGAATAGGGAGTGTAAGCAACAATAGGCCTACGCTTTAAATTCTTTTAGAAACTGTGAAATTGTTCAGAAAAAAATGTGGTATTATAAAACAGAAGTATCAACGTTGAAACAGCATCAATGACTGTGGTAACATCCTGTACAAGACCATAAAAGCTCTGATTTAAACAACTTTACAGTTCAGTTAATACCAGCTTAGACAAAAACAAAAAGCTTTTTATAAAATGATAAACCTCACATTTCAGCCTAATAAATGATTATGTATGTTATAATAAAATATAATTGGTCTGAACAACAGTGACAGACAGATTGAATAAAAATGCAAGGTCACTATCTGACAGTAGATGGCGCTTACAGAAAAGCAGAAAAACAGCAGTTACTCATTTTCAAAGCAGCAGTATGTGTAATACTACTTTATTATGAATAATATAGAGATCAGATGAAAAGAAAATGCCATCGAAACCAGATAAACATTCAAAAATTCCCTGGATGTGCAAATCATGTGAATAGCCTATTTCAATTAAAGAAAATTATTGGCTTTTCAGCAGCTCAGTTAAACATTATGGCTCACTAATTGTGAGTTACACGGTTTTGATTTTCTTTGTTGTTTTGCACTATTCTCATTTTAATTATGCAGTTACTTTGACAATATGAATGTACAAATATTTGACATGCCAAATAAAGTATAAAACAATAAATAAAACAATAAATAAATAAATAAAACTGGATGAATAGATACACTTTTACTCTGATACTGAAGCCTGATTTGTTCACGTTTGTGTAGCTGCACAAAACAATGGCACTCTAGCCTGCCAAAACGGGAGGAGCTGGAGGCTATATAAGCCGGCTCAGAGCGCCATCTCGACATAATTTTCTCCTTCAGCAACTAGACCATCTCTTTGCTGACTCTGTGATCAAGAAGCCGAAGAAGGATAAGCTCATCCTGCAGCTCACCATCTTCAATGAAGGCGGTCCTGCCCACCTCCACTCTCATTTTTCTCTCCTCCCAGCTGCTCGGAGAATGAAACAGTGAAGTCGCAGGGCTGAACAATCGGGATTGAGTGAGCTCATGCCGGCACAGGTCCCACGTGCTTTACTCTTCCAGCAGCACTTTGATCCGCCAGTGTGTTTACACTTGAGGATTAGGACCCCTCGTCTGCAACGAGCGGTTTTATCCTTTTAAGCTGAACAGAGTAGAATGCATGCAGCACTTTGACCCTATCTGAGGGTTGTCCCCCTTAAAATTATGATTAAAAACCACGCTGTGCATTGTAAATAACAATGTTTTATACTTTAAATAATTGTGTAAGTAGTAAAACAACACAAACGGGGCAAAAATGTGTTT